TTCTGTCACCTTGCCTGAAGGTCCCTAAATCCTAGGACCAGCAGGGGATGGGTTTCCCTAAGTCCTAGGAACAGCAGCGGGTCGGGGTGGATGTTCAACGACTGCACAGACAGAGGATGGTGGGCTTGGGAGCAGGGAGGAGGACCCTGCAGCACATGGGGCAGGAGACAAGCACTTCCTCACTTGTGGGACTTCTTGGTGTTGGCCCCGTCAGGGCCCTCGCCGCAGTCGTAGGCCTGGATGGTGAAGGTGTGTTCCTTCTGAGCCTCGCAGTCCACAGGCTCCTTGGCACGGATCAGCCCCTCTCCTGTCGCCTTGTCAAGGATCACAGCCTCAAAGGGCACCCCAGACCCATGGAGCCGGAAGCCGCAGATCTCACCTGGCAAAGGGGAGAAGGGGAGGAGTGAGGCTGCTGTGTCTCCTTCCCCACCCTCAGCCTCCCCACCTGGGGTCCAGCTCCACCTCTCCTCCCAAAGGAAGCGCTGTCCCTTCTCCCGTAGGCATAAAAGCATCAATTATCAAACACACAACTCCAAGCCCAGCTTCCCTGAGCAGCAACCTCCCAGAGCCTCCAGGCCTGAGATCTGGAAAAATCATGATGTGTTTAACCCTTGGCTGCCCATGTCCTTTTCTATCTTCCTTGACTCAATCTCCATTCTTCAGTGGGGCCCATTCCCTTCCTTGAGTCTGCCTCTATTTTTCCGAGGCCTCTTCCCATACTTTCTCATTGCTCCCAGGCCCTTCCCTCCCTCCCTTGCTCTTGGCCTTCTCCCCCACTTTTCTCTGTCCTACACTGCCTTGCCAACCCCCAACCTCAATTACCTGCATAGCGCAGTGGGGCATCCTTGTCCAAGGCAAAGAGTGGTGGGTTCAGCAGGACCGTGTTGTCGTTCTCCATGACGATGCCCTGGTACTCTGCCTCGATCCATGGCTTGTGCTTGTTGGCTGGCCCCGCCCCAGGGAGAGGAGATGAAGCACCTGTGAGCAGGGCCTCTACTCCACCAGTAACCCCTTATTGACCCAGACAACTCACACCCCGGCACCAATCACCCTTTCTACCCCCTATAGGGGCGCCTTACAGGAGGTGGGTCGCTGAGGACAAGAAATCAGCTACTAAAGGAGTCAGAGGGTCTGCAGGAGGTCACAGCCTTCTCCTATAGCAGGGTAGACAGTTTCCATGGAAACAACCTGCCCTGGGGGTGAGGAGGAGGGAACCACCATCTCCCTGGGAACCACGGTCAGAAAGTGGAGAGTATTCTTTAGGGATTTCATGAATGGAGACTGGGAACTTCAGGGAGCAGTGGTGGGCCGTGAGAAGGCCCTGGGAAAGGGAAGGGATAGATTAAGGGCAGCATTGAGACTAGAAAAAGATCTAGAAGTTTCCTGAGATCCTGATTGCTTATCCTCCTCCCCAACTCATTTCAATCCTGATTCCTTCACTCTGCACTTCTCCCCGCCACGCCCCAACTTGGGGCCATTCTCCCAGAGCGCAGGATGGGGGGAAAGGAGAGGAAAAGATATATAGGACAGAGGGAGGGGCAGAGAGGGGCAGGAATGGAGCAGAGGAATCGATGCCGAGCGACTGGACCCAGCAGAGCCATCATCCTAAGGGATTATCGGGCTGGCCTAGAAATATGACAAATCCCTCCCTGCTTCCCACCCCCACACCCAAGAGAACACATTCAAAACCAGCGCATTTCCATGTCCTCCACAAGACCGTCAAACTACATTCCCTGAAACCCACTTTTTATACAGAATGTAATCCCAGTTCTTATCTACCCCACCCCTCTTCCCTTCAACACCAGCCAATTCAGAATGGATGTGGGACTCATCAGACTCCAGATCGCCCCATCTTCTACCAGATTCGGCCTGGTGAGGGGCTGTGGGGAAGCATGTTCCCTCCCCTTCCACATCATCCCCCACCCCAGCCTCCATGCTTGCCCTATCTAAGCCCACCATGCCAACACCCAGGCTCCCAAAGCACACCCATGACACAGAGGGAAACTGAGTCACCAAAGGGACCCTCATCCCCAGTACCTCACAGCGAGCAAGAAACCCTGATTTCCATTCTGTCCTCCAACCACACCCCAGCAGGTCTTTGGCACCAGAAGGCTTTCTTACTGATGACCACCATAACCCCTTCCTGAATGCTGAGGAGAAAGCCACAAGATGGTGCCCAGGAGGCGGCACAGGAAGTGGCAGGAGGCTAAGAGGCGAGGCTGAGGTCAGCGATGGGGGAGAGCAGGAGCGCGATGCGAGGGCAGGGCCGGGCGCCTTCTGCACAGCTCCCCTCCCACCCTGCTTGTCTCCCTGAGTCTCTGAGCCTCAGTCTCCTCTCCTCCTGGCCCTGTGGTCTCTGCCTTTGCTCCCTTTCACTCCTAGGCTCCCGGGCTCCTCCTTGACTCACTCTTTTCCTGCTTTTCCTCTCATTCCTCCCTCTTTTTTCTGCCTCCACCTTTACCCTTTTCCATCCCCTCCCACGCCTCATCTCCGGCCTTGTTCTCAGCCTTCCCTCTCGCTACTCATCCAGCGCCCCCCACACACCCACTTCTGCCCTTTCCTGCCATTCTGCATCCGTTTCCACCCACCTGAGCCCTCTGCCCCCAAGCCCTCCCTCCCGTCCTCCCTCTGCGCCCCTCCGACAGCCCCGCCCAGCTGAATGTATCCGCCGCCTGCCAGAGAGGGCAGCTCTGGTAACCCGCAGCCCAGCTGAGGCAGGCGTGAGGGTATGAATGCAGAGGCACACGCAAAAACATACGTGCTCCGAATTGCCGAGCTGCAGCAAATAGTTTCTCCCCAGGATGGGATGGAGGCGAAGCAGATGGGTCTCCACACACCCTTAGCATGCGCCGGGGAAAGGGAAAGCCACGGGGAGACGTACAGCACCCGCCCGGAGACAGTCCTTCCCAGACCCGAGGTGTGCAGAAATTGGGGGAGGGGAGAAATGGAGACCCCAGGACGGGAATGGAGAGCAAATGGGAGCATGATGACCCACAAGAGACGCGCATGGGTAGAGATGGACCAGAGAGGAAGATGTGGCGGGGGGAAGAGCGCGAGAGGAGACGGAGCAGGTCTCAGAACACGGATGGGGAGCAGCGGACACCTGTCAGGTGCCAGGGAGCCCCGACACCTCCTTCCCACCGCCACCCTGCATGGCGCTGCCCGACACCCCTTTCAGGGCCCCCACCCCCACCCCACTCACCTTTGTTACAGGAGCAGGACGCGAGCAGAGAGGCCAGCAGGAGGGGCAGCAGCAGGAGGGTCATGGCGCGGCGTGGGGCAGGGCAGGGCCAGGCGGCTGCCTCCCGTGGGAGCCTCCAGCCTGCGGGGTCCACCTTGCGGGAGGGATGCAGGGGCTCCTCGAGGAGCGGGGGACAGCAGGGCAGGGACAGAGAGGAGCCTAAGGCCCACGCTAGTCCATAGAGCGGACCTGGGCAGACCCCAATCCGGGTGGCTGAGGCGGGGGACTCGCGGCGGCTTCGCGTTCCCCCCAGCCCAGCTCCTCACTCTCTCACTCCCACCCGAACCCCGCTACTGCAGGATGACGTCAGCACAGCCGGGCCAGGACTGACGGGGCCGCCGGCCAATCAGGTGGCTGGGGGGGACCAGGTGCTGCAGCGGGGGAGGGAGCCAACGGGACTGGGGCGTCGGGGCTGGAGAGCTCAGGGCTCCTTCCCCTGGCTGCAGTTTGGGGGAGCCGAGGATCTGCGGGGGCTGGGGAGGAAGCTGGAGAGCCACGGCGCGGGTGGGAAAGAAGAGGGGCGTGGGGAGAAAGAAGCCAGAAGCCAGGGGGTGGGGAAGAGAGACGTCAGCGGGACCCGAGGGCGGCCCGGAGGGGTGGCACCGCGTCACCCCGCCCCCCAAGTCTGCATTAACCTCTTTTCACAGCCTCTTCCATGCACAGGTCCCTGCTGCGTGCCCTGTGGGAACGGTGAAGTAAAACCCGCAGTCTGAGCCTGAGAAACCCTGGCGTTTGTAGCCCAGGTCTGCGAGGAAGCCGCAGGGCGGTCGGCAGGGCGGCAGCGGGGCTCGGGGACCCGAGGAGGGGTCGGACGTCCTGCACCCCTCGCGCGCGCACCTGTCGGAACGGGCCGCCTCTTCCTGCCTACCTGCCCTGCCTCCCTCGCCCCGAATTTCACCTTAAACCGTGATGAACCAAACCCAGTGAATCCTGAAGCCTGGGACGATGGATGGCAGGTTCGAGAGAGAAGTGGGCAGCTGGGGGCGGGGCACACGATTATTTGGGCGCCCCCACCCCACCCCCACAGAAATACATCTGGAAAGCGTGGGCTGTCCTAAGGGCTGGGACTGGGGGTGATGGTCTCATCGATGACTCAGAGGGAGAGAAAACCCTCTGCGTCCCAAGCCAAAGAGAATAAAATTCTCCAGTATAGCCAACCAACTCCTCTCTGGCTGTCTGCTCCTGACTTTGAACTCAGCACCCTGAACTCAGCACCCCCCGGGCTGTGGACAGCCCCCTCTGCTTAGGAAGAGCAGTTTCTCTGCCTACCTCCTAATGGCTCTATAGGACCAAGAGTCTGGAGTGCCACTTTAGGGTCGCAGTTGAGCACATTGCCTGAGGGAGCTATGGGGGCCAGGGCTACAGGGTGCTCGTCACCGTGGCTCCTGGCCAGCTGGCTGTCCTCACCGCCTCCCCTCACACCTTCCAACATCACTCAGTCCCAGGACCTCAGGATATTGTTAGAACTTATCTCCACCTCACACAGCCAGGCCAGCCTCAGGTGCCTCCCAGGAGAGACTGCCCCTCAAGCCCTGGGACGGTTCCCAGGCCTGCCAAAAATGAGGTGAAGGCCAAAACTGACCTTTGGATGGCTCGGGTTTTGGGTGACTGACAGCCCCAGATCCCGCTCCAGGTTCCTTCCTCAGGAAAAGCCAAGGTCCGGCACAACTTTGCCAAATCCCTGCCCCTCCTTCAGGCTGCAGACACCAGTCCCAAACTCATCATGGGGGGAGGACGAAGTCCGGTAGGGACTCTTATTGCAACAGGACTCCACTCCTATAAAAGCCCTGGTAACCAGGCCTCTACACATCCTGGCTCTGTCGCGGGGGCTGGCCTGAGTCTCTCAGCCTCACCTGCCAGACAACATCCCCTTCTTCCTCACCCTGCCTCCTGTATTCTCCGGAAACCTTGATCTGCACAATGCCCCCCAACCTCACTGGCTACTACTGCTTCGTCTCGCAGAAGAACATGCAGGACTACCTGCAAGCCCTAAGTAATGGCCTCGCCCTGCCAGACCCCTGTCACTCCTTTCTTCCCTCGCCCTTCCTGCCTCTTAGTCCCCTGGAGAAGAGGGAATGCCCGGGGTTGGACACTGTGGGAAGGCTCAGGCAGCTGGCGCCGACCTGGGATCCCTTTCTAACCAGGCATTGCTAGGAGGGGGTGAATCCACAGTCCCAAATCCAAAGAAGGGAAACTTACGGCCCTGAGGGGCTGCTGCAGGCAGGAGAGCTCCAGGCTGGCTGGCAGCACCCCTGCTAAGAGGCAGCCCCCACAGACATCAGCTTGGCTCTGCGGAAGATCGCGGTGCTGCTGAAGCCGGACAAGGAGATTGACCACCAGGGCAACCACATGACAGTGAGGACGCTCAGCACCTTCCGAAATTACACTGTGCAGTTCAACGTGGGAGAGGAGTTTGAGGAGGACCTCAAGAGCATCGATGGACGAAAATGCCAGGTACGTTTCCCCTGGCTAGGAGACAGCCGGAAGGAGGGATCACAGGAGACTCCTAACAATATGGGGCAAAACCAAGTGACCTCCCCGAGCCAGAGCAGGCAGTGCGGCCCCCAGGATACCAGTCTCCGGAACGAACAGGTCCTGGTGCTCCTCGTCTCTCCTACTTCTTCCCTGCCCCCTCTTATCGCCAGCCGAAAGGACAAAGAACAGGCCAACCCAGACGGAAGAGCAAACATTTGCCCACCCGCCAGCCTGTGACACTGTTGGTCACCCAGAGTCTCTCTTACTTAAGCCTCACTAACTTCACTCTCCTGCATTTCTTTCTACTTCGTACATATTCCTTCTTGTCTCCTTTTTTTCTTTAAAGATGGGGTTTTGCCATGATGGCCAGGCTGGTCTTGAACTCCTGACCTCAGGTGATCCACCCACCTCGGCCTCCAAAAGTGCTAGGATTACAGGCGTGAGGCACAGCGCCCGGCCTCCTTCTTGTCTCCTTTACAGATCCTAGTCCTCCTATTAATCCTTTAAACTGGAGTTCCTCCCCGGCCCCAGAGTTTTGTTCTTAATGTCTTCTCCCTTTTGTCTGCATACTATCCATAGGCTAAACCATCTACACCCATGCCTTCTGCTTCCATCTAGAGGCCGCCCTTGGCGTGTATTCTCCAGCCAGAGCCATCTCCTGAGCTCCAGGGCAATGTTTTCAACTGCCTGCAAAATGCAGTTAGCCCTGCATATTCATGGGTTCTGCATCCACAGCTTCAGCCAGCTGCAAATGGAAAATATTTGGGAAAAATAAAAATTAAAAAAAATACAAAATGATACAAATAAAAAACAATAAAGTATAACAACTACTTACAGAGCATTTACATTGCATTAGGTATTATTAGTAATCTAGAGATGATTTAAAGCATATGGGAAAAGGCTGGGCATGGTGGTTCACACCCATAATCCCAGCACTTTGGGAGGCTGAGGCAGACGGATCACTTGAGGTCAGGAGTTCAAGACCAGCCTGGCCAACATGGTGTACTAAAAATACAAAAATTAGCCGGGCGTGGTGTCCCACACTTATAACCCCAGCTACTTGGGAGGCTGAGGCAAGAGAATTGCTTGAACCCCGGAGCCTGAGGTTGCAGTGAGCCAAGATCACGCCATTGCACTCTAGCCTGGGTGACAGAGCAAGACTCTGTCTCAAAATAGTAATAATAATTAAGTATACAGGAGGATATGCGTAGGTTCTCTACAGATACCAAGCCATTTTATTCAGCATATTCAGCAGATTTGGTACGTCCTGGAACCAATTTCCATTTGAATGCCCAACGGCAAACTCAAATTCCCTGCCTTCCGATCCAAACCTACTCCACTTTTATATCTACGACCTCTACTAATTGCAATAACCGGCCAGGACAGAGACCTGAGTCATGGTGAATATCCCTTGTTTCCTTACTTCTGGGCTCCCAACACACACAACACACACACACACACACACACACCACACACACACACACACATACCACACACCACACACACCACACACACACCACACACACACCACATACACCACACACACACACCACACACACACCACACACACACACCACACACACACGCACACACCACACACACGCACACACCACACAC